CACCACCAGCCTGCATTTCAGATGACTTTGTGCACGTCTCACTCCCTTCAGCTGCTGCCACACCTCTTAAGAAGGTATGACACAATCTTCCTGCCAAGCAAATACGGTTTCATTTCTTCCACTGAATTGCCATATGTGCAGTGAACGCCGACCAGAGAATATCAAAGTAGCAAACTTAATATTGTATTACAAAAAGTAACTGTTCCAATTTAGACGACTTAGATTTTCAATTATCCAGACTTCAGTACTGTATATGGCTTTGTTGTATAAGAACTGTCTGTAGGAATTTTCTCTCTGTGAAAATGTCCAAGAAATTTGTTTCCACCAAGTCTCTCATGCAAAGAATCTGTTTTTATTTTTGATTTTTTTTTCTTTCTTCCAGGAGGATAAACCAGATTCTGGGAGGCCTTTACTGTACCGACAACAAAATGTCACAAATAGTGAGAAATCATTGGGTAAATGCAGTTTTTCTCTCCCCATTTTCAATAACTTTATTATAAACAAAACCTGGTTTTATTGATGGATGTTCCACTTGCCAAACACTTTTAAAATTATTCTAAAGCCCTTATGGCAGTAAGAGTCTCCAATTTTGTCCTGTGATAAAACTTGACAAAATAGCAACTTTACAACTAACGTTTTTTTTTTTTTTTTTTCTTTCCAGACACACCTGGTAGTAAAAGTTCAGTAACTTTAAGTGATCTTCCAGAATTTTTAGGAGGTTTATCTTTGGATGATAGTGCTGAAAAGGACAGAGAGGAAGGTAATTTCTGTCATCCTTCCATACACCCCAGCTGATGAAGTGTCTGTGATCTTGAAACACAAGATGAATAGATTGGGTTTGGTCATTTAGCCTCATGTGATATCTCTAATGTTCTAAGTACATTCTGGGTTACCTTTCATATGTTCAGATCCCTTCTCTGTGAGCTGTGTCATTAATTTGTGTCATTTCCAGATCTACCATATGGAATTCTTGTTGCAACCTGTCTTGTTCCTTTGAAAGGTTGCCTAATGCTAAAGACTTATTCCCACATCTCAGGCTAATTCTCCTGAGTAAAAAAAATTCTCAAATCTATTTTATTAGGAAGCAGCTGACTGGAATGAGAAAGAGCTTTTTCTGCCAGAACTTATCGTAAGAGCAGACAAACAGAAAAGTTCATAAGAGTATGAGTGAATGAATTAATAATCATTAAGCAGTTCAACGATATCTGTGCTCATCATAAGGCAACTTCAGCTCTGTGCAGGGAATTGCTGCAAAACTCTCATCCTTTTGATGATATCTCTGTAGAAACTGTAGTGTAGACTGCAAACGTAGACACCTTGCAGGGACTTTCCCTAAAGATGTTAAGAAGCCTGAGCATGTATGAGGTAAATGGACACCTAAGTCTCCCATGGGAATTGGTTAGGGTCCAGCAGGGAGATAGTGAAAAGGATCTTGTCCAGTAACTGAATGTGTTTAAGCTCATTTGCCAACTGATGTGTTTTCCCTCTTCATCACCCTTCTCAGATGCAATATCTAAAGAGATCTCCGAGATCACAACTGATGCTGAACACATGGTGCCTAGGGGAGGATTCGACTCTCCGTTTTACCGCTCAAATGAAAATCTATCCGGCTCTCAAAAGAAGACCCATTCAGCAGTCTCTAGTGTCCAGGGACACAGTCTGACCTCTGAGCCTTTAACGTCTTCTCTGGACAAGCCTGGGCCTGAGAGCGCGCGGGAAACACCCAAACAGACATTTACTCCCATAGACAAACCCTGTGGAGGCTCTGGTGAAAGCCCTGCTGGTACCAGGGAAGGAACCTCTGGAGAGACAAGTATCCTCACTCCCAGCCCTTGCAAAGTACCAGCACAAAGAAGAGTGGGGTTTGGGAGTGGGCAGCCTCCCCTGTATGAGCACCTTTTTGAGGTTGCATTACCAAAGACTGCCTACCTCTTTGTTGGCAAAAAGACTGAAGAGCTGCTAAAGAAAGCCAAGGGAAGCCAGGATGAAGACTGCATGTCCTCTACTTCTCCAGTGGAAGTACTGGATAGACTGATACAGCAAGGAGCAGATGCACACACTAAGGAGCTGAGCAAGTAGGTGACTGAAAGTCTTGGTTTTCCTTTTTGTTGGCTTTGTTTTAATAGCTGTGACTGAAAAAAGAGCTGTTTGGAAACCCAGAATGAAACCATGTCCTGTTACCCCCTCTAGGGACTATGGAATGGTACCTAGTTTGCCTGATATAAAAGAATCGGTGGCCTTAGGACTATTACTATCTTTACAAAGTGAACTTGGGATGAAGAGCAGGGACGGTGGCTTTGCTACAAATGCGGGTTTGGTGCCTCTGTTGGAGAAATGTGTTTGTTTATTGGGTTAAGTTCCATGCTAGATTATCAAAAGCAGAATGAAATTGGAGGTGAAGAAGAGATTGATACTTTCTTTTTGTTGTAAGGGAAGCTAAGA